GAAATTTGGAATTTTTTGAATGGAAACGAAGAAGTTAAAAAATTAAACAAAAAATATTAAAGAAATTACGCTGCGCTAATCTAAAGGAGGGTTCATACTGTGGGAATTTTGAGAACAAAAAATAACAGTTTAAATTCAATCATACAAACTGTCAGGTTATCCAAAAAAACACTACAAGCTTTTGAACTCAGTTATTAGACGGCGTAAAAAAAACTGCTTTTACTTGCACAGCTTCTAGTGAACAAAGATATCCCACCCCTAACTGCACCTCACACTGCCTACGTTTATAGCTTAGGGATGAAACATAGACAGACCATCGGTACATACTCTAGGCACATGACCATTTTACATGTCAAAAGGTTTGTACCATATTATCTAGTCAAATATCTTCCCCACTACCATTCACTATCAAATTCTATCCTTTCCGCCTTAAAATCCACAGAATTCAGCCACGCTAAATTTCCTTCGATTAGCATTTTCCACTACTTCACAAAGTACGCTTCGGCCTACTTGTGGCCGCAAAATATCACTCCACAGCTCCGATCTTCTCGCCAATCATGCTTGGCACGAATAATTTTGGCTGGGCTTTTATTGCCCTTCCTTTTAATTTTATTATTTCTTAGATATGAGGAATATTAAAAAAAAAAAGTAAGACATGCAAACAGCTAAATTAACCTGTGGCATATTCTTTGTTTTGCATAGCTCGAGAATAATACTGCCATAGAAAAGTGGCAATGATGCCGGATCTGGTAATCGCATCAGCTGCGAAAATATCACTTCCAGAATCATGTAATTCAGCGGGACAGCTGATTTCCGGCGATAATTTACAAGCTGCGCTGCACTACAATTTTTTGAATATTTTCGATTAATAAAGTTTTTGAGGTGGATATGAGCTAATAACAAATAACGTCGTTCTGGTGCTGAAAATTGAGGATTTGATTCCGTCAGTGCGAGAACCAGTCCCTCTACGATTCGTTCATTCGTTTCAGAGGCGGGGAAGCCAGAATCAATATAGGCCTATTTCAAAAGAAGAAGCCATCGACAGCCTTACCAGCATCTAGGATTACTAGATAGGAAGTACCAATTTCAGAATCAGTAGCGCAGTCACTTCTGTTTCCGTCGCAACGAGATGAGCCGCGCAGCACAGATGGAGAGTCAATGATTTCTTTGCACAGCCTGTCCTGGTACAACCCGGAAAATCGCTAACTCGGGAACCAGAAAAGCTGGGAGGTTGAATATTCAGAGGATGTTCCTAGCCCATACATTCATATTCAGCCTCCAGTTACGTGTGGCACTCAAGTACGGTCCTAAAGCACCTAACAACATTCAGACTGTTTTTGACTGCTTTCTCAGAGGAAGTGATTATGAGGAGAGTTTGACTTCTCTATGTCTTTTTGTTACATGTCCACAACTCTAATATCTTCTCATTCTTCTCCCTTATCTTTTCCGGTTCGCACTTTCCAAAACGCTACCAACCACTT